GTTGTTTGCAAGAAGCTTATTAATAAATAAATAGATTTAACATCAGTTTTAGTTGTCTAAAACGTAACTTAACTCAGCTGGTGGATGTTGATTCCTGCTCCCCATTCCCCACTTGCCTGGCTGTCCTACCCCACTTCACATGGTGAAAATATTAACACAAAAACGACTTAAATAATTTTCTTTGGGAATATTTCATCTGCTTCTTTCTCTTTGGTCAAACAGGAACTTCTTTCTCTGGTGGCTGGTCCTTATTAACATCCTCCACACTCGTAGCATGTCTTCATTAGCCAACTTTGTCCTCCCCACCATGTGTCCTTAGGCTAGCCTGGGTCTTCATGTGGCTAAACTTGCCAAAGCAAAGAACACAAGCACTGTGTCACATCAGCCAAGTTGCTAAATAATGCACATGAAGGATAACTTTGACTAATATATTAGCTTTAAATTTATTAGATTAAAATTGGAGAGAAAAAACTATTTGCCTGTCTTTAAAATATGTTTAATATTAAGGGCTAACGTTACAGTAATTGTGTTTAATAACGTTAGCTAACAATAACTTACAGCAAGGTAGGATTGGCTTGAATTACTCATAGCTAACATTACAAAGAAAGAGAACATAGTCAATGTTATTTTCTCAAAGAAAATATAGAGTTAATAAGACACATACCTCATATGTGTTAATTAGGTGATAAACTTCGGCTTATTTTTAAATAACTTCCATCTTGTGGAAGATTTCTTCTTCACTAACACACTGCTCGACTGTTTGTGCACTGCTGCCTCTCACTCGTGGAGATGGTGTATTGCATGCTTGTTTCAAATGCTAAGTTCTTAAGTTCTTTGTAGACATCTTGCTGTAAAACTTCAGATCAATTAGATCAATTAGAAATTTAAGACTAAACAAAATGGCAGAGCAATATAATATTACCAGATAAAGCTACATATTTTTTAAAGTTTAATTGGTAATACTTTTATAACAAACTTATGACAGATCACAATTTCTTGGTTAATGTCAAGCTGTCATAACGAAGACATTTTGAATAATGTCAACTTTGTATTAAAAATGTCATTATTTACCAAATGACGCTTTATGACAACAGTCATAAATATTCATAAAGACTTACTCATGTTCATGCCAGGTGTTATGTCATGTCAGTTTTATTCACACCGCGTCAAATAAAGTGTTACCAAAATTAGAAAAACCATAATTAGAATCACTAAGGAAGAACAAAAGTGGAAAACAAGGCAACTAAATAGAAAAACCTAAAGAACACCAAAAATGACAAAAATCCAAAACCAAACTCAAAACACCCCAGATCCCAACAACTTTACATGTTTTACAGGGCAAAGTAGTGCTAGCTGTTGTAACAGACAATACAAAGCAGGTTAGGCAACAAAGAACATGTACATAATTTTTTAATCTAGTTCAGCAATAAATAATAAATGTTTCTGGGGCACTTTTCATATTCATGAAACAGAGCTGAAATTACTCAGTAGATCGTGTAATGCACTACTGATGCATCTCAAGATAGGGCTCTTCTCAGCAAGATTTCTAGAAGTCCTCCTGCTGGAAGAGAAGTCAACATTATCTGTAGACACAGACCGCTGAATGAGTATATTGATTTCTCTATATCTTCCTTCAGTGAAACATGAATTTGTTAAAACTGCAATGACATAACAAGATAAGTGTTTCTTGTTATGTCATCAGAGCATTCCTCCCGAGCGGTTTCTTAATGAATTCTACTAAAACCTTAGCCCACCCAGGAACACACATACTTATATATACACACTCACACACAGGCACACATCCCTTTTCTAATAAAACACCTCTCCCTCTGTGCAAACTGCCCAAACTCCACTTTGGATTTTCATGTTGTTGTCTCTATGAAATGAAAAGACAGTTCTTGGGATATGTTGAATGACTAAATATCCCCATGAGAGACATTTAAATACGGGTTTTCTCCATGCTCTTACCACCTTTAATTTTATAATAATTTGCTTCCAAGGAGTTACATTTTCTTTGAATCTATCATCCTGACTTGATCAGTAGTTCCTGAAATTTTCTGAATATTCCTTTGTGGGGGTTTTTGGGATGCGTTTCTCTTGTTTTTTGTTTTTGTCCAGGCCTTCTACCCGACTCCAACATCTGTGTGTTGGAGAAAAGTTGACAAGTAGAGGACACACAAAGAAGTATCAGGCTCAACAAACTGTCAGCAGATGCCATGAAATAAACCTAAAGAAATTTATAGTGAAGAGTATGTCTACACCAAGAGGAGCATTATAGCCAAAGCAATAATGCTCCTCTTGTAAAAAGTAAATGTGCTGGGTTTCTCTTTGGCACCCAGGGAATAATTCTGATTGTTACTTTGCCGGAGACATCACTTTAAATAAATAAATAAATAAATAAATAATAAATAAAGATTTGCCTTCTGTGTTTTTTCTTTTCTTCAACTATGACCAACTAGTTTCAGTCCCTACTGATGAAAAGCATTTACATTGCATGATGTTGCCACTATTGCACCCCAGGATTCCTCTTATTCGATATTTATATGCTCCCACTCAGCTCAGGTTACAACAGGAAATAAGATTAGCTACCATAACTATGCAGATGATACACAGCTCTACATCACGATGTCACCAGGTGACTCTGAACCATCCAATCACTGAATAGCTGCTTAGAACAGATAAATGTGTGGATGTGCCAAAACTTTCTCCAGCTGAACAGAAACAAAACTGAAGTTATCTTTGGACCTAAAGAGGAGCGATCTAGAGTCAATGCACAGCTTCAGTTATTACAACTGAAAACCAGTGATCAGGCAGAAACCTGGGAGTAGTGATGACCTCTGACCTGAACCTTCAGAGCCACATTAAGACAGTCACAAAGTCGGCCTTCTATCACCTGAAGAACATCTCCAGGATTAGAGGACTAACTTCTCAGCGAGATCTAGAGAAACTCATTCATGCGTTTATCTTTAGTCGCATTGATTACTGTAACAGCGTCTTCACAAGTCTGTCCAACAAATCAATCCTCCAGCTGTAGCTGATCCAGAACGCTGATGCTGATGTTCTCACTAAAACCAGGAACACCAGTTCTAAAGTCCTTCACTGGCTCCCTGTAGCTCAGAGAATAGACTTTAAAATACTGTTGTTAGTTTATAAATCACTGAACGGTTTAGCACCACAATACATTAAAGATCTGCTGTTGTATCAACCTTCCAAACCTCTAGACTAAAAACCCACCTGCTTAGAGTTGCTTTGGAAACATAATCAATTAAGAATTTAACAATGGCATTGACTTAATGTAATATTTTAATTATGTGTTGCATGACTTTGTGTTTTTATGATGTCAAGCACTTTGAAATACTTTGGCTCTAGTGGCTTTTATTTGAAAGTAGTTCGACAGGAAACAGAGTAATGAGACATGCGGCAAATGTTGCCAGGCTGGGAATCAAACTTGCGACCACTGCCATGAGGACAACACCTCCCCAAAGAAGCTACATTTTAGTGTCATCTGGCTAGAGTACTGACTTCAACACGTTTACTGTGTGCTCTATATAGTTTGAGACCAGAGTGCATTCAATAAGAATGTGATTATTACTGATGCCCATACTTTTGAGAACTTTGACCTGAGCAAAGTTGCTTTTTAAGTAAGAGAAGCATCAAACAAATACAGCTCATACTGTCATCACTTAATGCTGCACTGTTTGGGGATGGAGATGAAAAGAACTAGTTCTTATTAAGGAAGAACTGACACAACTGGGCCTATCACGATGACAAATTTTGCTGGATGACAAATTGTCTCAGAAGTCATTGTGATAAACAATAATGTTGTTCAGAGACCATTTTCGAGTAATATAAAGGTCTTGGCAAAATAATGCAAGAACACATCCTCACAGATCAATTAACTTTTCATTTTAATGAGCATTTAACAGTGGGACAGTATTTATTTTGGACATTTTAAATATATAAAATAATATATAAAATAATTAAACAAAAGAATAGAAACAACAAATAAAATTGATCATGAAGTCTGTGTTAACAAAATTGTCTTCCAAAATAGGCCAGCTGAGTCCAAAGCACCAGACTGAAGACTGTTATCTTCCAGTTTTTGGTAGAAAGAGAGAAAAGTGAAATACAAATCATGCAAATTGAAAGTATTAAACCCATTTTCATTTATTATGTGATTAATTGATTTTCTTATTGCGACGGCACTGTTTGAGACAAACTCCAAGCAGATTTTGTTGAGTACTAACTTATAGATGTCCTGCGGCCAGATTCTCCAATCAAGCTTTAGATGAAGTTCTTCTAGAATTATAGCAGTTCTCTCAGCTGCTTTCCTATGACTGCTCTCCCTGCTTATCCTGTCATTATAGGTTGTCAGTCATGTACTGGCTGGTTTGCTGTTGTGCCAGCCTGCATTTTCATATGAGTAGTTGAACAATGCTCCCTGAGATTTTCAATGTTTTGGGATATTGTTTTATAAACTGATTTCTTTATATCTCTGCATTATAATAAAAGTATCATCAACTTTACAGATCATCAACTGTGCATTTGTTTGTGAGTAAACTTAATAAAATAGCAGAGGATCAAACACCTATTTCCCCATCCACAGAAGGAAATGGGGCCTGACTCATGACTTTTGAGTGTTACTGTACAAGTCTTACATCCCGTCCTCCCTGGTGTGTGCACAGGTGTGTCTGCTGGTTATCCCTCTCTGCCTCTGCCTGGTGAAGTCTCTGGAGATTCCTCGGTATGTCCTTACTGCGTCTACTACAACCAACTCGGTGAACATCCGGATGAGCAGTTGGAAGACCCTCTCCATGGAAACTCATGCCACATTGACAACCTGTATCACAATGACAGTCCATGTCAGTGTAGCAGTCCACAGCGATCTGAGCCAAAGATAAGCATCTGGAAATGCTTTTGGCTGAGACTCCGAAACAAGTTAGAACTTATTGTCTGCAGCAGATACTTCAGCAGGGGAATCATGATTGCCATCCTCATTAACACGCTGTCAATGGGCATAGAGTACCACGAGCAGGTGAGCCATTAGACTGCTAGCATGTTTGTGTTAACGTGCACGACTCGGTGCATGGCTCCCTCAGACTGAATGTGACTCCTGTCTGACTGACGTGCTAATTACTGTGTGTGAGAAAGTCAACAAATTTACCCTCCAATCAAAACTTACAGCACCCAGCATATGGGATCTCAACACCAGTGTGCATGCTCGGCTGTGTGTGGGTGTATGCAGACATGTATGAGGAGATGGGGAAACTCATAAGACCTCCAGTGCTAATTAAAGAGTGACCCTGGGAAAAGAGTGAGAGACTGAGCGGAAATAGAGCTGAGTCGCAGGAGAAGGCAGGAGTGAAGGGAAGAATCAGGTGGAGGAGGACAGATCTGACATTCCGATTGGCTGAATGTCGGCAGCAGACTGTGGAAAACGAGGGAAGATTTCATTTGTCATTCAGCCTGCTCCTTGACACATCTGGATGGCCATAGCATAGTGAATGTTGAATATTTCACTATAAGAGCTGCCTCATTTTATCCTATTTCTATGCCTGGATAGTCAGACGTGGCTTCACAGCTATGTGATGAAATAACTTCACCAAATGTATGAATAAAACCTATTTTTCAGTTACTATTTAAAAACTTTACACTTCAAAATGCAAAAATGTCCCTGTGAGTATTGCAGTTCAGGAAAACACCTTTTTAATCTTCTGTGAGCAGCTTTGTGTCAGGCCAGCATCACTGGGCATGCTCAGAATCCAGCTGCATGTTTACACAGCATTGCTGCTTTGCATAATCTGTGAGAAAACTCCCTGGCTATGTTCATGGAAGTAAGGACATGTTACACAAGCCTGTGGCATAAAGCATCCTGCTCATGTTTGAAATTGACACTTTTTCTCCTTCTTCAAGTTAATCATCATGATTAATAAAAAAAAGGTAACACTTTATTTGAAGGGGGGTGAATAAGACTGACATGACACTGTCCTAAAAACCTGTCATGAACATGAATAAGCCTTCATGAATATTTATGACTGTTGTCATAAAGCGTCATTCGGTAAATTATGACACTTTTAATACAAAGTTGACATTATTCAAAATGTCTTTGTTATGACAACTTGACATTAACCAAGAAATCATTACTGATATAAATTTGTTATAAAAGTATTACTGATTGCACTTTAAAAATTAGGTAACTTTATGTTATTAAAGGTAAAGTTTAAACAGTAATGATTTTGAATAAAGACATTTTGAATAATGTCAACTTTGTATTAAAAGTGTCATAATTTACAGAATGACACTTTATGACAGCAGTCATACATATTCATGAAGGCTTATTCATGTTCATGACATGTGATATGTCATGTTTATGAAAGTGTCATGTCAGTCTTATTCAACCCCCTTCAAATAAAGTGTTACCTAATCTTATAAAAATGTAACTGACTGGCTCTATTTTTTGCTCAGTAATACAAGACCACCAAAGACTTGTGATTTT